TTATTTTTCCATGTGGATGAGACTCGCGATTATCACTTTTATGTGGGAGCATATCGGGAGTTGAGAGGTGGAGATGTGACTACTGGACAACAGGGATAGTTCAATGGGGTAGCTTTGTGGGAGCTACTTTTGTATGTATCTATATAAATAAATTATGTTACTATGTTTTGAGATTCTGCCAATGAACTGAGATTTCAGTTTATATTACAATTACAGTAATATAATGTAATATAGATGTTGTTATATATTTGTTTAGTATTTTGTGAATGTATAATTATAGTAGTGATTTATAAGATTGTTACATAATCACTAAAATGTTTTTTAAAGATAAATGCTAACAATATTATCATAGTAACTATAAATTTGAAATATTTTTTTAAACAAAACATTGACATTTATTAAAATTAAAATTTAACTTATTTTTAAAATTCAAAATATAAATTTTTAATTTTAGATAAATTTTAAGATCATGAGAAAGTATATTTACTTGCTTACAACTCAAGTTAATTATATAATTTTTTTAAGTTTAAATTAAAACATCTAATATAATTTTAAAATTTTACTCATTTGTTATTTACGATGTTGTAAACGAAGTGAATAAAATGTTCGAAAGAGTGAAAAATTGGAAGAACAAACTTTATCAAGATGAGATCAAATATTATTAATAAAAAAAATGATGTTGCTTATAATTTCTTTTCATGTAATTCAATATTAAATATGACTTCTATTTAAATTTAAACTTTTCTATTTTGCATTTAATTTTAGTTGGATTAAAATTTGATTTTGTGGACAATTGAAATGCATTTATTAATTACATTCTAATTTAAATAAACTATTTCATGATTAAACATAATAGAGAAATTTATATAAAAGGGATACATTAGACTAAAGATATCAAATTATCATTTATATGATAAAAATGCTGTTTTGTAAAGAAACAATTAATATTTTAGTCAATTTGTATCTAAACAATAGAACTTATTAAATATGGTTGAAAACTAAATATTCTACTATGCATTATTGATGTTTTTGAACATTTTATGTTCTTTTCAACATATTGAAAACTTGATGGAATATAAGCTCAAAAGTAAAGACATTATTGGCCAAAATACCATGAAAAGGTACACCTTATATCCTAAATGAAAAAAAGTTACAAGAATGTTATTACAATAAGTCACATCAATCAAATATGGTATGCATTGTCACCAACTTTAAAATTATATCGAAAAAAAAAAATATACTTGTACTCAATTTTTCTGACTATTTATTTTAGTTTCGATATGTAAAAGCATGTTGCAGTACTCATTAATAAAACTTATATATTAACATATATTTAAAGTTAACATCAAAGTCGTTGTAGTATAGTGGTGAGTATTCCCGCCTGTCACGCGGGTGACCCGGGTTCGATCCCCGGCAACGGCGTTATTTTTTCATTTTTTTTTTGCTTCATTAGTTCTGGGCTTCCGTTTTTTAATGGTTTAGGCCCATTAGTTTTGGGCTTTCTTTTAAATGTAATCTTAAGCCCAAAAACTATAAAAAATTATGGAAATAGATTGAGAATCAGGCCAATCTTTCAAACAACATTTCCTCAGTTTTATCTACCGTTTCAGAACATCACAAGTTAAAAATAATAGTTTCCCATTTATTTATAAATTATTAATATAATCCTAATTTTAAATGTATTTTTATCCTTACAAAATAAAAAATTTTGCATTAGTCTCTAACGTTTGATCCTATTTTTACTTTTTTTTTTTGTATTTGGTTTCTATCTTTATATTATTTATATTACTATGCTATGTTATTATATATGATTAACAAGAATTTTTTTTATAACAAAAAAATTTAAGAGTTAAAAATAAATAAATATTTCAAATTTTACTTAAAAATAGTAATATAGATGAAATATAGATAAATATTTTTTCCAAGACTAAATAGAAATTTTGTAAACATTTTAGGACCAAAAGTTAAGAAAAAATTAATTATTGACTAAACGCAAAATTCATAAATTTTTCTAATACTAAAACATATCTTATATTATTTATCTCTCATTTATTATTTTGAAATTATATATATATATATATATATATATATATCAGCATTATTATTATTTATGGGTTTTGAAAAATAAGTTTATTATTACAATTATTATAACAAATTAATAAGGATAAAAAAATTAGGCTAAATAACTTTTTCCATTTCATTATTTTATAATTTTGGCTTATTATTATTATTATTATTATTATTATTATTATTATTATTATTATTATTATTATTATTATTTTTAGTGTGGATTTGAATTTATTTCTTTTAAAATAAGTTAATTTTGTCTCTTTCATCAACATTGTTAAATTATTTAACAAAAATTATAATATGACAATAATGTAATCACATTTAAGAATTGGTAATTAATGTAATGTTGACCAATATGATATATCTATGTTAAGTATATTATTAATGTGAGCGTTACATATCTTATTTACATTAATAAAATATTAATTTATTTTAAAATTATTAGAACTAAATTGATATTGAAAATAATAATGAAAAAAAAATATTAACTAAAATGTTAATAACATGTAAGCAAATATATGTTACATAAAATGAGTTTGTGCAAGTGAGAAAATTTAAATGTTTAGAACTCATTTATATAGATAATATTTTTTATGACTAATTCTCATATTTAAGATATTGTCTATTTTATTATTTTGAAATTCTATTTTATTATGATTTTATTCTTAAATATATATATATATATATATATATATGTATATATATATATATGTATATATATATATATATGTATATATATATATATGTATATATATATATATATATATATATATATATATATATATATGTGTGTGTGTGTGTGTGTGGTTTCAGCCTGCTTTAACGTTTTGGTGTTGGACGGCACAAGGAACATGCAGATGGAAACGTTGAAGATGCCAACGAACAATAGCTGTGATAATTCACTAAAACAAGGAAAACTTTAACAATGTCACGTTTACGTTCACTCCAACGCTCCAAACATAGCGCTAACGTTTTCCCCAACTTACCTTTTCGTTTCAACTTTTTCTCAACCAAACACAAGAAAGAACCTCGTTGTGGTTGCCTAATCGTGTTTCATCTTCTATTGCCCATGACACTGATATTTACGGAAATTAATATAAAAATTCTGTTGGAAAATAAAGTTATTAATTCAAGTTTATCTCAATAAAATAATCTCTCAAGTTTCAAAGCATAATAATAATAAAATGAAAGGGAGGAAGAACAAGGTAAATTGTAAATCGCAGGAATGACATTTCCAAGATCAATAATCTCTGTGTCAAATTTCAAAGTTTAATAATAAGCTACATCTCAAACTGAAGAAAACATATAAAAAAAAAATTATGTTGAGGAGTCACTCAAGTTTTATTGTCCTATGGAAAGAGAGAAGAAAAATGATACTGTAGGCATATTCTGTCTCTGCTCTGCTCAATAGTTTGTATCCCTAGACCCGCATTGATCAAGAATTTACTTTGCAGGGCCATTGGTTAATGCATCAGATTTTGCTGCTCCAGTGGGATTTAGTTCTTCCCAAGCTTCAATCCATGTCTCCATGTTATCTGCAAGCTTGTTGAAATACTCATCAACCTTGCCAAGCTTTGCCTTCACTTGCTTGGAGAGTTCAATGTAGCATTTCTGAGCAGTTGTGCATTCCTTTGGAAGAGAAACAGATTGGAAAAATGGGATCAGCTCTTCTTGCCAGTAAATTCCTTTGTACTCCTTCTTAAGGTTCACAAATGGGTTGCTGGCTTTGCTGTGCCAGATGTAAGGCAAACCTGTCTTCACCCCCAATCCCAGATGGTCACTTATCACCTACATTATCCAAAAAATACTCAATTATAAGCTTAAATGAGAGATGAGTGCTGATTTTTTCAAATCAATTCTGCTACAAGACATCGCATAGAGATTAGGTAAGACCTTAGATACGTGATGGTAATAATTTCTTCAGTCAAATATTTGACACAAGATTTGAATACAATACCTTCATGCACCAACCAGCCCACATGTCATCATAGCGTCCAATTGGTTGACCGTCACCCATGAGTCCAAAGTACATTGCAGGACCAATTAATTCACGGTTGAATGCCAAATTCATACCACACATGGGAAAAAGGGTTCCCTTTGGTATAGTCATAACTGCATCCACATACCTAGGAAAAGTGTTCGAGACATTACCTCAAGAATACAACAACCAATATACTCTAGCATGCATGCTACAAATGCAAACATATTCATACCTAGTGTTCCTCTCCAGAGGTTTGACAAGCTGAGTTGGGGCATCATAATCAGGAATGTTGAGCCAGAGGCCATGAGAAGCAGCTGTAGGGACACCTTCACGCAGACTAAACGGGTATCCACGGACAAAATCTGTACCCTCTCTGAATGGATCATAGAGGGTGTTGAAAAAAAATGGGGTCGATGGAGTCAGAAGGTTCTTCAGGTGCTGCTCCAGGGCATTAATTTCTTTCCCAGATGGATCTTTTGCAACCTAGGAAAAGGAAAACAAGAAAACAAAGGCTATCACATATACATCACAAAGCAGGGACCTAAACATAGTGATAGGAACAGTGAAAGATGGAGAGAAAAAGGAAGTAAAAAGTAAGGAGAGTGAGGCTCACAAAGCAATCATCATCGATGGTGAAGATGTACTTCTTCTTGGATAGCAAAAACCCGAAGCAGCGGCAAGCAGAGTCCTTGAAGGAAATGCAGCGGGCCTTGGAGCCCAGAATGCGGTTGATGTCATTGCGGGTGTAGAGTTCATAGTCGAATCCTTCGGGGACCTTGATCACCTTTGAAGGGTCACCGTCCTGCACTATTATGAGGTGGTAAGGCTCAAAGAACGCCCTCCACATCTCCAAGAACTCGAGGTTCCTTATCGTCGGGATCACTATGTCAACCTCCTCCGTCAGAATCGGCGTCGATGCTGTTCCTGACATGCTTCCTTTTTCCCTCCGATGGAAGGTTTCCGTGACACGACAACGTTGTTTTGGAGCGTCGGGGAGCACGAGGATGGGTGGTCTTTGTTCACGCTCCGTGGGAGTGGTGTATGCTTCGGGGGCTTTTGTAGACAAAATTCTCGAGACTTGGCACGTGCAGAAAGCGATGGATGTGTGTAAAAAAACTCACAAATTGTATATTTCTTTTTCTTGTTGTATAAAACAAAATCCCATGCACTTGCTAATAAGTTATAATCACGAGAACAATCCATTGTGCTATACGTGATTCACAATGCAGATCTACATTGCTTAGGAGAAACCAAATACCATAGCATCATTAATCACTGATTTTATAATATATAAAGATAAAGATAATGTATGCCAATAGGTATAGTTTACGTTTTGATAACTGATTTTAAAGTTATATCTAATAAGAAAAACGCATTTTAAGGATGAAAATATGGAGGATACTCTAAACTTCTGTAAGCTCCCTAACACTCTGGCAATTAATGAAATGGAGTCTTTCTCTTATTTCCTCACCTCATTCTTACTTTCTCATATTCTTTAATTGCTTTTAATATATTGCTTCTTTAATTTTACAATTTTTTGTCTGATTAACTCCTTCAAGTTTATTAACTTCTATAAATGAATACTTTACATTAAAAATTTAAATTCTCATCAACAATTATTACAAAATAGTGATGAATTTATTTATATTTATATTTAATTACATAAATTGTGAAAATCTTACTTAAGGTAATCTTATTTTTTTATAAATGGTTGACATTAGTCTTATATTTTTGTCTATGTGGACGGAGGAGAAAGGGAGTTTAATGGTAAGAGTATTGTAATATGAGATAATTATAAAGGTTAAATATTTTTCAAATATACAACATGGGTTTTAATAATCAACGTGGTTATACTTTCATGTAATGAATAATCTTTTATACTAGAGTAAACCTTTGTCTGTTAGACAAGAATATAGAAATTTACAAATTCTATATTGGTTGGACATGTATTTTTATTATTATTAAATTGAAGTAAATAATGGTGGAGTTATCATTTTTTTTTTTAATAATGAATATAGGAAATCATCATGATTTACTTCTTTATTGATTAGGAATATATACAAAATATAAATTATAATTTAGGGTGTCATTAACCATTATTATTATAAAATATTTTTAAAATAATAACAACTTATTTCACCTAATAATATCTATCAATGAATATATGAATGTACGTTCCTAAAAAAGTAATTTGTCCATATTTGCAAGGTGTCTAAGGGGCATAAAAATACATAAGAATTGTTGAATTGAAATGAAAGAATAGATAGAACGCTAGTTACTTCAGAAATGGTAAGATCTTTGGCGCAAGAACACAAGAGGAGGGATTGATCCATATCATCTTGACTTGGTTTTTGTTTCTCTATTTTTTAGAAAATCGAGTTGGGTTCTTCTCCTACCCACATTGACTAGAACACGTTTAGCCAAATCTTCTTTATAGAAATTCTGCTTTATTTAGACAAAAAAATCGTATGATTTTATGAAATAATGTGTTGCTACTTGAATACGTTGTCAATCTTATTTCCAGTAAGAGTAATTTATAATTCAATACAGTTTTTTCTAAAATTTTGGTGTTTGTAATAGTATAAAAATAAACCCTAACTCTGAGAAGATGTTTAAGAATAGTGACATTAAGTTTTTTGACCTTTTGTCTTATGATTAGTCAATTTTATTTTTCAAAAGAAACAAGAGAAGAATTTTTTCTTAGTTGTAGAATGTGACCTTGACGTGATTAAAGTTACCAATTAAGTCTTATTATCCGTAAACCCAATGTAAGTTTTTCTATTTAGATGTTGTGATTGAATAAAAATTGAAAATGGATAATAGACTTGAGAGATTGCATGAAAAGTAAAGGGTTATATTTTTTTTGGAAAAACTCCAATCAAATATGAATAATCTAGATATAAGAGAATTTCAAATCATTTTTTTTTTTCGAACAAGACAAGTATAAATAATGCAATTGAAATCTAACAAAGAGTTCCATGTTTCGTAATGAATATTGGTGGCATGTTTTACACATGTTAATCAGACAAGAAGTGGTAAGAAATGAAATAAAGTAAAAAATCTTCTTAATCTTTTAAGAAAAAAAGTAACATTAAAAGGAAGAAAAATATTTATTATAAAAATAATAAATAATTAAATTAAAATTAAATATTTATTTAATTAAAATTTACAGAATTACTTATATAATTATTCATTTTTTATTAATAAAATAAATTTTAAAGTAATATTTTTAAATTCTGTATCTATTTTTTCAATAAGATATATTTTGATATATTTTAATATATTTTTATTATAATTTTTTTTTCTAAATTATGTAAAATTAAATTAATAAAATCATATTACAAATAAATAAAAAATATATGAAATTATTTATTTGATTTTTATAATTATTTTAATAAAATATAAAAATAATAATTAAAAGTATATATATGTATATTTTGTAAATATAAAAATAAATAATAATTTATTTAAGTAAAGATAATTTTATTAAATTATATTTTTGTTATATTTTTTACAAAAGGAAAAGTAAAACTGTGACATTTTTTTCTTAGTTATTTTCCTTATTTGATAATAAGAGAAGTTATTACTTTCTACTCATCTTCCCAAATTTATGACTTTCCACTATACCTTTTCTCAATAAATGAATTTAATTTAAAAATTTATTGTTAAACGTAATGTAATTATTGTTGATTACTATAATATCATAAATTATTGTTTAATTATTTAAAATCACAATTAATTTTCATTGTTTTAGATAAAATTACACTTTAAAGTTGATAATAAAAATTTTGTTTAATATAATATCAAAATTAACTTTATTCTTGTTTAATAGGGTAAAAATTTTAATCCATTTAATTTTTTCATAAATATTTAAATAAATCATTTAATACTAAAAAAAACATTTTATATTCCCTATTTTTTTATACGAAGATCCGCCGCTAATTTAATCTACAAATACTAAAATAATAATATTTTAGTTATTTTTTATTATTCTTTTACTTTAATGAACTTTTTATTCAATAAACGAATAAAAATAGGATAATAAGATAATAGATAAAGATGTATTTTACCAAAATAAAATAAAATAAAACAAAATAAGGATACAGAAAACTTATTATTTATTTTCTAAAATTAATGAAGTTCTTTAAATTCTTGTAAATCCATAAAATCATTTGAAATATTATGATTTGATATTGTATAAATCCTTTAAAATATAAATTATAAAATTATAATCATAATTATTTTTAAAAAAATCTTAAAAAAAGTATCAATAGCTTGTTCCATAATTATTTAAATTTCCATGACTTTTTTTATGTAGAAAACATTTTGAAATCTCAATTGAATACACTTTCTTAACGCTAATACAAACATAACTTTTTAAAGTTTAATATTTGATATGTATACTTTTTTTAAAATATGTTTTATTTTTGTTATAGAAATTATTTAACTTTGGTGTTATTAAAGTCAACAATTTTACTTCACCCAAAGTATATATATATATATATATATATATATATATATATATATATATATATATATATATATATATATATATATATATATATTTGTAGTTGAAAGAGAGAGATTTTTTGAATAAATTTTGGTGCTTTTGACAGAAAAATCTCTATCTCTGGACCTACACACTCAAACTAAAAATTAGTGAGGATTCAATTTACTTTACATGAATATAAGTTCCCAAATCTGAGTCACATAGAAGTGATGATACATTGCTTAGGGTTTAAAATTGAATAGAAAGTTGTGAGAGGTGGTGCAGCATGTGACAGAAGCATGAAGTGGGAAGATATGGAGTTTTGTGATCGGTAGTAATGGTGTCGGCGGAACCAAGATTTTATCGATTGCTCCTACGTTGGCATTGTCACCGACACCCAGACCGTTACCCCTCTCCAGCTGGTTTGTCCTTATGTATGCACACCCACCCACACGTCAAATACTATGGATAAACTGAAAATATTATTTTTGAAAATATTTTTTTATAAATTAAAATTAGATTATCTATAGGTAAACGAAAATTTAAAAGAAATTATATAAAAAATTTGAAAATTAATTTAGGGTTTAAATATGTTTTTACTAATATAAATTAGGCTTTTTTTCTACAATTAAAGATTTGCTTTTTTTTTTTGGATATAATAAAAAATTACCTTAATGTGTAATATTCTGTGTATCATAATTTTTTATTAGAATATTTTTATTTATTATATCTTGAACATAAATTTTAAATATAAAATTTATTATTTTGATGATCTTATAATATAAAGAACAAAGATATTCATTATAAAAATTGAGATTTTATTCAAAACTTTTAATATTTATAAAATAAAACAAAAGAATTTTAATTTATAAAATCTAAATTTTAAAATAAAATCTATCAGTAAAAAAGTTAATAAAATCTTAATTCCTACTTCTTATGTAAAAACCTACCAAAAACAAATATAAAATGTCAAAATAAAATGTACGATCGAAAATATTATAATATCTTAACAAATGATAAGTTTATAATCCAAACACGAAACGTTGGCTTTTTTTTTATACCATCCTATTGACTTTTACCTAAACACTAGTGAAATATATAAGACATTTTCTTCCATTTTTGTAAGCGTGTATCACAAATATTTTCATAATATAAAATAAGAAAATAACTTATTAGAGACTTGTGTCTAATTCTTTATTACAAGAAAACAAATATTTTTCTTTTAAATGTTATATACAATATATATATATATATATATATATATATATATATATATATATATTAAATATTATACTGGCCACTTAGTTTTTATTCTTGTCTAAGCCACTGCATCTTACAATAATATTTTATTAATTATATTAATGATCTGAACACCAAATCATATATGAACATTTTAACTTAGTTTTTTTTTATATTTCTAAATTTAGAAATACACAATTTTACATATAATAGTAAATATTATTAATATGCTCTTATAAAAAGTTATAATTTTTTTAACAATTGGAATGATGTTGTTCCATCTTAATCAATGATCTCAAGATAAATGGGATCACAGAAAACCAATAAATTTTTAATGAATATTTTTCAAATAATAACAATAAAAGAGGTCTATCATATATCAGTATCTTAAACTGTAATCCCATAATAGTAAAATAAATATTATAAATAATATAATAATTAAAATAAATAGGATAATATCATATTTCTTAAATAAAATAATAATAATAAATATACTTGTCTTCTACAATTTTCAATATTTTGTAATAAAACAATAAAAAAAATCTCATTAATTTAAAAACAGTAAAAAAAAAAGGTGTACCTTATGAGTGACGAAGAAAAAAAAACATGTCTTGTGTAGACCAAAATTAAAAATAAAACATAATAAATATTTTGAAAATAAGAAGAATATAACAATTATAAAATTCTTTCATCACAAAAATAGGATGAAAAAAGGCAGATGATAATTAAAAACAATAACTATTAAATTAACTTATTGAAAAAACTTGTTAATAAGGTCAAAACAGTTTTTCAATTTATAAAAAATAATTAACTTAAATATGATATGGAATTAATTTTTCCATTCATTAATTTTAAAATAAATTAAAGTCACGTGTGAATTGAGTGATAGATAATCAGGTTTGAAGACTAAGGCCCAATAACTTAAATTGAGACCCATGGGCTACATTGGATTTGTTCAATGTATCAGATGAATTCAAATGAGTTACATTGCACCATTTTCTGAGAGTATTAGGATCTGGTTCAGTTGGGCACATTATATTTGTTTTCAATCAATCCCAAGATGGTAACTCTACACCCTATTATCAAGGGCTGATTGTCATATTTTATAATGGTGAAAACACATGATTTAGCTCTTTGTTCTGTAAACATGAACAACTTATATTGATCGATGGTGATGTGTAGCCCCAGACACTATATCCAGATAAATAACTATTTTAAGATGTAATGATTAATCATCTCTGAGATTAAACTAAGACTTAAAAGATCCCTGGCCATAAATCATTAATCAATTTGAAGCAAGTCTTTTCAGGAATGAAAAGTAAGTGAAAACTGGCTAACCCCTGATGTATCCTGAGGCAAACTGAAAATTGCCTCTGTTTAAACAGGTTAAGATATTGGAGATGAGCTAGTTGCAAGCATGCATTTGATAAGAGAGATGCAGACATTATATTTCTTATGAAGATGATATCACAGGAACATAACAACTACTACTAGTGATAACATATTCTACAGTCAGTTATAAACATGTTACAAACGCATTATATATAACAACATACACACACTGGTACATTTGTACATTTGCAAAGTAACAAGTTGTGTACCACACTAGAACTAGTGATTCTGTGAAATTCTCTTCAGGCATGGAAGGTGTCAGTGATAAACCGCAGAGAAACATAACATTTGCATGCTTGAAGTTGGTTGCTTTAATTGCCCTATGCTTCGTTCTAATCTCTCCAGCAGGTAAATTACACAAGTATATGTGCAAAACATGGGGAGACTAGTGTTGTAAATATAGTTTTGTTGCTCAGAGATTCATTCTGAGTTCTTTATCTTTTTGTAGAATCATTTGATCCATTGGATCCAACTGGGAACGTGACCATAAGATGGGATATTATGTCTTGGACATCAGATGGATATTTGGTAAGTTCTGATCATTCTATCATTTGGATTCTATATTTATGAATATGAAAAGGTCGTCAAAAGAATGCTCAAATTATACAGAAATTGATTAGTGATGTTAAACTTTGGTAGGCCACTGTGACATTGTTTAATTTCCAACTGTACCGCAATATTATGAATCCTGGGTGGACTCTAGGATGGACATGGGCAAAGAAGGAAATAATATGGGCCATGATGGGGGCTCAAGCCACAGAGCAAGGAGACTGTGCCAAGTTCAAGTTGAAGATTCCTCATAGCTGCAAGAGGAATCCTCAAGTGGTTGATTTGCTACCTGGAGCTCCTTTCAACATGCAGTTCACCAACTGTTGCAGGGGTGGTGTGCTTACATCATGGGGACAGAACCCTTCGGGTGCAGTCTCATCATTTCAGATAGGAGTTGGGCTCTCTGGCACCTCCAACAAGACAGTCAAATTGCCTAAGAACTTCAAATTGCTGGGACCAGGACCAGGATATTCATGTGGCCCTGCTAAGATTGTTCCATCCACTGCAATCCTCACAGATGATCATAGGCGAAAAATGCAGGCATTGAGTATGTGCATACATTACTAATTCCCTTCATTCACTGTATCTTTATGATTACTGATGCATTGTTAGTATCAACAACGAGTTTATTTTTCATAAACGGTTAGCGTAAAAAGTTTTACACTTGGAACCAAATCATTCTATCATATGACATTTAGAGTATTAAAAGGTTAAGAATCTTAGCATTCATGACAATCTATGATTAGATGACTAGTAAAAAGCTATACACACTTACTGCATTCTACTTATTTTGTTTAATGATTCTATATTATGGTTTTCTATGCAGTGTCCTGGAATGTGACATGCACTTATTCACAGTTTCTTGCCTCCAAGAATCCTAGCTGCTGCGTTTCTTTATCATCTTTCTACAGTGACAAAATCACAGGTTGCCCACCTTGTGCTTGTGGTTGCCAGAACAACGATACCTGTGTCACGTAAGCCACCCTTGTAACTTGACATTAGTCTTTTCATCTCCTAATTAGTAATGACATGCAATTTTGATATCTTGGTATGATGGGAATGCAGGAGAGATTCAAAGATCCTGCAAGAGAATGTCACCTCACCTCACCGAAAATCAGACATCACACCAAAACCATTGTTACAATGCACACACCACCTGTGTCATGTCCGGGTGCACTGGCATTTGAAAGACAACTATCAGGACTATTGGCGTGTCAAGATTGCCATTATCAACTTCAACTATGGATTGAATTTCACCGATTGGTCTCTTGTGGTGCAGCACCCGAATCTCAATAATGTAACCCAAGTCTATAGCTTTGAATACATGCCACTTCTTCCCTTTGAATCCATAAGTGAGTTCTTGGAAATGGACACCAAATGGTGGAGTATTTTCTGTATTTAGACCTTTATATAAGAGGTTTCCTTAACACTCTGCTTACTGACTTGTGTATGCAGATGACACTGGCATGTTCTATGGTTTGAAATATTACAATGATCTGTTGATGGAAGCTGGGCCTAAAGGGAATGTCCAGTCCGAGGTGCTCATGAAGAAGGATAAGAACACATTTACTCTCAAGCAGGGATGGGCATTTCCAAGGAGGGTCTACTTTAATGGTGATGAATGCATGCTGCCACCTCCTGATTCATATCCTATGTTGCCAAACTCTGCCCCCAATAAACGACCAACAAATATTGTATTGACGGCAACCTATGTGTTTTTTACATTATTTCTGCATTTGGTTGTAACATTTTTTTGATGTATACAAGCGGCTATTTTTATTTTAAAGATATAGATTAGAGTGATGAGTTAGTTGGGATATATGCAAAATGGAATTTCTTGTGAACTCTTACATAAATCAATGAATATATTCAATCAAAAGATAACATTTTCTCTTGGGCTTGTTAGTTATGCTTTAAGCATAAGAATAAGGATGAGAACATACAATTGAGACAAGTGATTTGGATCCTACACGTAAATATACCACAACCCTTACTTCAGAGTACATCTGCAAATTGTTTTTCCTCTATACATTAAAAGAACTATTCTTTTTAGCATATAATATAAATCCATCTGCATAGGTTTTGGGAATTTAAAAATGTGAAAATGAGTATATAAGAAAGGGAAGAAGTGATACATATAATTGAGTCTTGGAATCATCATCTCAACACTAAAAATAAATTGGATATTCTATAATCTGAAATATACTGATCATCCAAGAAGTAACTTATAATAATTATACAACTCAACAGATAAAAAGATGTATTACATATATGGGGATAAAATACAATCCCCAAGGTGAATACAGGACAGAATTCTTGTGGCAAGCATTTATGCTTCTGTGACACTTTTCATTGCTTTGGTAGCAGCTTCTATGCATTTTTGACAATAGGGATGACTTTGGCTTTAAAAGTTGGTGCAGAAGAGAAAGATACAATACTCCAAAAGAGTAGATGGTATCTATGTTCTCTATGATTGATTAAATAAGATTTAACAAAGAAGCTAAAGTGGCTATGACTGTACTTAGTAAAGAGAAAACTAGTTTAGAACTAGCATTTGGAAGCCAAGGGTAGGCATCTGGAGGAGGCATAACACAGTTATCCCCATTGAAATAAATCCTTCTGGGGAATGCCCATCCCTTATCAAATGTGAAGGTTGATTTGTCTTTTCTAAGTAAGATTTCTGATTGAACGTTACCAAGAGGTCCAGCTGAAGAAAGAAAATCATTGTAGAACTTGACTCCCCATAGCATACTTGTATCATCTGTAAAACCATATGCCAAAACAATAGCATAAGATCTGGGATGTTTTCTTCACAAGATCATATAGAAATATGGATATGAAACAGAGAACTTACTCAAGCCCTCATAGGGTGTCAGTGACTTGTACTGGAAACTGAAGAGCTGGGTAATATTATCTAAATTGGGATGCTGCACAACAAGGTTCCACTGTGAGTAGTTCATTCTGTAATTGAAATTAGTGATTGTGATCTTGACCCTCCAGTACTCTTTGTAATTGAGCTTCACGTGCCAATGCACTCTAACCGGACACATGTGGCTGGTACACTGAACTAGAGGTGTGTTTGCACCTTTGCTTGATGATGATACAACTGAACCTAAATGTGGTGAATTCGGACTGTAAGGCATTCAGAAAAATAAATCATAAGAATGGGGAATGATGAAAAAGTTACTCTGGAAAATACTTTGAAGAACTACTAGACACACAATATAAAAGAAGTTTCAAATATCTATGAATAGATAAATTGTAGACTTACTCTACACAGCTGCCAGGTTCTGTTTTGTTTTGGCAGCCACAGGTGCAGGTTGGGCAGTTTACTACTGTGTTATTATAGAAGGATGAGAGAGAAACACAACAACTTGGTGTCTTTTGAGCCAGGAATTGAGAATAAGTGCAGGTAATATTCCAAGTCACTGCCACAAAATATGCAAGTTTAGTTGAAGAGAAGTGAGAATTTGGATTTCATACTCGGAACTCATCTGAAAAATTATATCCATTACATTTACGGAGGCAATGATGCTAACATAAAAAAAATGAAAATGAAACGTTGAAAGTGAAAAACATGTATAGAATGAACTGACATAACTAAAAAAAAATAATCAAGTTCAAAAGGAACTTCAATTTTGTTATTTATTTTCAATTTATACATCAAAGGCTTATATGTACATCGAAAGTTTAGAAAAGACAAATGAATATGTAAAGGATTTTGATTAATTCAATGTAATTTTCAACTAACTTACTCATGGCTTGGGTGATTCTCCTCTTGTCATTCGTAATAAATGTAGTTGGTTTCACAACCTTTGCAGGACCACAAGTGTAGCCAGGTCCTGGTGCCTTGAGGGTAAAATTTTTAGGCATTTTGACCGTTTTGTTTGTTGTTCCAGCAGAACCAACACTAATCTGGAAAGAACTGACTGCACTGCTGGGGTCCTGACCCCATGAATTTAGGACACCCCCTTTGCAACAATTTGCAATCTGTTGGTTGTAAGGAGTCCCTGGCAGTAAATCCACAACTGTTGGGTCCTTCTTACAACAATGAGGAATACCTGCTTTGAACTTTGAACAGTCCCCTTGCTCTGTTGTTTGGCTTCCCATCATGTTCCAAATTACTTCCTTTTTAGCCCATGTCCACCCTAATGACCATCCAGGGGCCTGAATGTGGCGATATTGTTGAAAGTTGTACATTGTAACAACAGCCTGCTCAAGCCATACAAGAAGGTTCAGGAACAGATCATAGAAGCCTATATTTCATTAAAAATCAAATGTTAAAAAAATTGGTTGCTGATTCATTGAAATGAGAAGTTATTCCTTATTCAGTGCAATTAATGGTGAATACAAAATGTTAAAAGAATAATAACCAATTAACCACGTTAAAAATTTACCCAATCAGACATACTTTTAAGTCCTGTTCAAACAAAGTATGTGCAACTGAGAAGACCATCAAGCTACAAATAAGTCTAGTATTACATAGTTCTTATTGATATTAGAAATTTGTCCAAGGCACAAGTCATATTGAGTACTTGATACACATTCAGAAATCTGTGGTCACTTACAACATAACCATCTGGAGTCCAGGTAATGACATCCCATTTGATTGTTATATTGCCAGTTGGATCAAGCGGATCATAGGCTTCTGTAAATGAACAAGCAAGAAATATTGATGAGTTTTAGATCAATCTGAAAAAAAAAAAAACTTAACAAAACACATCTCACTCAATTGCTTTCCAGATGGATATTAAACAATCGAACAGGTATAGTAAAACACTAAAACCAAAAATAGATAACAGTGTAATTTGTATCCATGAGAAACTTCAAACTTTCTCCAAGTTCAATGAAGAAACAGTAGGGACTTAAGAGCCTATTATACTTTATTAACTTTTTCTTTCCTTGTATCGAGATTATTATCACATCCATATAATCACAAAAAGGAAAACACTGTCAACTTATCTAATTAGTTATCATGATGGTGTAACTGTATTAATTTATAGTTCTATAAGTAGACACCAGATCACCAACATAGAACAGCCAGGTGCTTAAAATTTAAAAGAAAATACATTGATTTTATCTTGCACTTTCTTTGATCAGTTAGAGTGCCAAACAAAAAACTATGAAACGACAGAAAGAAGTGAGGATCCAGATTGATTGCAAGGACCCATCAACTAATATACAGATCAATCAATGCAATCAAATGCCCTTCAACTTCCTCAATCACAGTTCCATCAAAAGAGCCATACTTTTGAGGAAATGGAAAATGGGAACTTAGTAACTCAGAAACAGAAGTAGAACCAGAAAGCAAAGTTTCAATGTACATGTAGGAACTAAATTTGAGTTCCATGTAAACAATGAGACGAAGCCATACCAGTAGAAGTGAATGAGGAGAATAAAAACAGCAGCAGGAGCAAGACTGCAAAGGCACCACGAGGCACAACAGATCCAATGGCAGGTTGCATGGTGTGTTCCATTTCTTGGTTCAGATTTTCTATGACAATGTGCTCAAGTTCAAGATCTGCACCAAAAAGGCAGAGACAGCAAACAGAGGTTTAGGCCTCTCAGCTCTGTAGCTCCATCACAAAGCAGAAGCTTTGGTTTCGAAATGAACTGAATGTGTCATGAAACTTCATGTAATTACTGTCTTTATTGTGTAACTGTAACCAAACTATTGAGAAGATCTGATACATACAGTCATCACCGAATATCAATATGGCCCTTTATTGACAGTTAATCTACTGAGCCAACAAGGTTAATTTACTAAGGAGCTATCTTTTTTATTATTAACAGGGTTTGCTGATTCACAACAGAACTATATTTGTTAATTAAAAATTATTCGAATAAAATTTAATAATTTTATTTTTATCACACAAATATGTTTCATTGCAATTTTAATGGTTAAATTTTCGAACCAAGATGTTACTTTTTTTCGGTGGCAATTAAATTTGAAAACGTGTTTTTGGTCCCTATTGAGGGATATTATGGGAAAAATGAAAGATACCGACAGGAAGAGGAAGATGTGAAGGAAAGACAGGAGTTGGGATTAAACAAATGAGCAGGAAAAGTGGTAAAACTCTCCTTAAACTTGTCGGTGAGATGTTTGGGACATCGTATTACATAATTCTACAACTTATTCTCAGGGTAGATCCATCCCTCCTTCGTAGGACCACAAAAATAAATGTGATTACTAAGTCATTGATTAGATACTAGCTAGGTATGTTTTTGTTTCTTTGTGAACATTATTGTTCTTTTGATACTCTTCATTAGTTAATTGTTTTGTTTTCGAAATTGTGAATTTGTCACAACGACATGTTTCTTTTGAATGTGCAAATAGCTCCTTAGGGCGAGTCTCGTTTTTATTATATTCATCGTACAGATAGTAACGGTATATATATATCATGTGAAAGTGAAAAATGTGTTGGTTTTAAAATTTGATTATTTTTCAATTTTATTTTATTTATGTTTGAGACTTTTAAATTGAGATAGGGAAAATTATAGATTAATTTGTTTCAGATATGATATAATATTTATGTTTTTAATATATTTTAATTTTCGTTTCTTTTATGGAATCTGTTGATTATTCATCAATAATGATATTGTTTGAACAAATGGATATATGATAAATAGATAACTAATTAGATTTATATGATTTTTTAAAGAGTTTCTCATTGATTATTATACAAAATATTTTTTAAGAGATATCATGTTATTTTGCACTAAATAAATCTCAAAATTTTCTACAGATAATTATTTTAAAAAAATTTGTTCTCACATTTATCATTTAAAGGTTTTCAAGTGATAAAGGATTGATCGATAGGTTTGGTATAATTTGGTTCTGGTCTGTACTATTTTGTTAAAAAAGGAATTTGTATTAAGAAGTTAGCGTGATTGAGTTACACGTCTATTTAGATAAATTTTATTATTTAGAGTTCTCATTCATTATAATTTATATTTATTCTTTAAAGGATGGTTTGGTGAATTGAAAAAGGATAATATATATATATATATATATATATATATATATATATATTTAAAAGTTAGTTTTTATTTATTTTAAACCACTTAAAATGTGATGCTTAGAAATATTTTGTGATAAAAGAACGTTGTTCTTTTATTTAGAAAAGTTAATAGAATTGAAAAAAAATATTAATAAGAATACACTTATGTATGATAAGTAAAATATTATATATTAAATATTTATTACTGTCATTATATTATAATGAAATCTTTTAATAATTTATTAAAAGAGAATTAATATTAATTGAAGTAAACCGATATAAAAGTAATCTTATATCTTATTTTATATATGCAACTTATTTTGTTAAGAAAATTAATTAAGTGAAATATTTAATTGTGTAATTTTTCCCCACTTTTTCTTACTCAGTTAGCAGGTGTAAAATTTTTTAATTTTTAATTTTTATATTTCTTGTTAACATAAATTTGGAGAAATAAATTCAAAAAATATTTTTTATTTTAAGATGTAACGAGTTTCTCTTTCTTTTTGAGGAAAAAGGGTAGCGTATAAAATAATTTAATTTTTATTTTTATTTTAAAAATTCTGGAAAAGTGGCGGCAGCAAAATAAGCCACCGCGAAGCTCTTCCTCCACTGATTTGGGAACGACAACAGATCAGCTCTAGGGTTCTTCGTTCCTTCGAATTAGGGATTCACTGTAGAAATGGATAACAGTAATTCTGAACAAACCGTGCAAGATGGCAAACTCTACAGAAACCTCAATTCTCTCATCGTCGCTCATCTTAGGGACAACAATCTTACTCAGGCAAGTCCAATATTCCTTCAATCATAGCCTAACATATTGAGTGAATGCATTTATTTATCTCAGAAATCATTTTTTATTTTATTTTGAAAGTAAATAAAATGATTGCTAATTTTTCTTCAGGCTGCTAGTGCTGTTGCTTCAGCAACCATGACTCCACTGAATGTGGAAGCCCCACCTAACAGACTTCTTGACCTGGTTGCTAAGGTTCTCTCTTATTTCCCTTATGCTTTGATTCAAAAAATTTCTCCCTAAACACTTTCAGGAAAATGAAATGCATTCCACCTTATTAAGCTAAAATCAACTTATAAATCTTAATTTTGAAAAAGTTGAATGAAAGCTTTTATAAAATTTAAGTTTATAAGTTGATTTGCAGTATGGTCCTTTCTTTTTGTTCTAAGAAAATAATAGCAGGGTCTTGCAGCGGAAAAAGGCCACATCACTAGAGGCCCTGATTTCTCTGCCTCACTTCCCATGCCCCACACAACAGCTATTGATTTCAGGCAAACTTCCAAAACTACATTTCTATTAACTGTCAGACATGATTTGTTCTATTTAATGTCGAGCAAGACTTAGAAGTTCATTCATTTGAGTGTAGTGAATAAGTTAGTAGTTGACAATATCACATGCTCTCTTGAAAATTGCGTTTTGCTTTTGGCAGCACTGCACCTGATATGAAAAGTTCCGCAAAGAGCTTCCCGAAGCATGAAACGCGACACCTTTCGGAACACAAGGTGTGCAATATGCTTCGATAGTGTATACGTATCCTGCAATAACAATGCAATGTAATACGAAAATGCCATGCTGTTTTGGACTGATTGGCTTAGTTTCTAGAATATTGCCAGGTGTGCTAGGTTTAGTGCTGATGGAAGGTTTGTTGCCACCGGAAGTGCCGATACATCAATAAAGCTATTTGAGGTGCTGATTTTTTATATGGAATTTAGACGCTTTGCTGTTTATTTTACATCGTCTGCTTGTCTGGCAGGTTTCGAAGATCAAACAGATGTTGCTGCCAGAGGCAAAGGATGGTCCTGTGCGGCCTGTCATTCGAACATATTATGATCATATACAAGTGTGTTTGCGTTTTCTGATACACCAATAGCAGATTTTGTGTGGTTATTTTATGAGATTTTTGGGTTATGTTTGGATAAATTTTTCCAATAAGTACTTATAAGAGAAGAAAAAATAAATAAACTTCTGTCAGTAAGCAAAATTAGCTCATACATAAATTAAAATATATTTTTTGGAGAAGTTAAATAAGAGAGCTTTTACAAATCAGCTATGCATAACCTAATTTTAATATATATAAATTTATTTCATTTTATCTTCTTAATTTCTTCTCTTATTTTAGCTTACGGAAGAAAGTATTATGACTAGTTGGTCACAAGTTCAAATCCAGAAACAGTTTCTTTGTATGTGCAAGTTTACCTACAATGACCCTCCTCTATACCTTCGCATAGCAAGGAACCTTTTGGTGCTAGGGTACGCTAGTTTCTTTCTTCTCTATGTGTTTATAGCGAAGTTTATCCAATCAGAGCCTCTTTTTCAGATTTATTTCAGTGAACCTGTGGAAGTTTGGAGTTGTAACTGTTTCTGGCTTGACAAGTTTACTTAGTATATAGCATTATATATCAACATGTCAAACTGTGTCTTGGCTGTGGTTGATCTTTTGACTCTAATACTAATCAGTTTTGGTAGAAGCTTCTTTCTCACATCTCATTAAGCATTTACTTACCAAATTGTTGAGTTTATGATATGATCCTTGGAAATTGCAATTGTAAATTTATTTATTTTTCTTGTATCAAAACTGCAGCCAATAAATGATCTTGATTTTCATCCACAAGGTACTATCCTGATTTCTGGGGCCAAAGATCAAACGATAAAGTATGGTTTTGCTCCATAATATGCATTTCAGCTGTATTTTATTTCCATGTTTCTGTCTTTTTTGTTTAAAATGCTCTTAAAATCTGACATACTTAGTTTAATAATTTTTAGGTTTTTTGATATTTCAAAAACGAATGCAAAGAGAGCATACAGGGTTATCCAGGTTGTTTTGTCCTACCCTTTAAGCATTAGCAATGAGTGGCCAAATATAAGAATTAAATATAAACTACAATATCTATTTAACTTTTGCTGAGCAGGACACACACAATGTTCGATCTGTATCTTTCCATCCTTCTGGAGATTTTCTGCTGGCAGGTATTTATTTTATCACATCTTTCTTGTTTAAGATGTATGAACTTGTAATTACAATTTTCTGTACTGTTGATTTCCGTTTCTGTGTTCTTGTATTTATTTAATGGTTTGTAAATTAACAATTATAAAAACTCCTTGTTCTGATGTCCACTGTTCAGTGTCAAATGTTATCTGTATGAGAAAGTCACATCTGTTCCACTGGGTGACTTGTCTACTGTGTGACTTATTAAAGGGGGAAATTCAGTCATTTTTTCCAGATTGTTTCCGAATAAGGATTATTGCTCGCTTGATTTTTTTTACACAAAAATACAAAGATGATAAACATCAATTTATGACAGGAACTGATCATGCAATTCCACATTTGTATGATATAAATACCTTTCAGTGTTATCTGTCATCAAATGTCCCAGAGACTAGCCCTAATGGAGCCATAAACCAGGCATGTCAATCATATCTGGATCCGTATCACAACCTGTGAATTACCTCTATTTTTACTTTCATTGACACTACACTGATGCTGATTGTTTCTTTGTCTGATTTTTAGGTCAGATATTCTTGTACAGGTGCCATGTATGTCACTGCATCTAAAGATGGTGCTATTAGGTTGTGGGATGGCATCACTGCCAATTGTGTGCGCTCAATAACTGCAGCACATGGAACAGCTGAGGCTACCAGTGCAATTTTTACAAAAGATCAACGGTATAAATACATTTTAGTGCAAATATTGGACACGATGAAACACATACATTGACACACTAACTGACCACGAGAGGATGACATCACTACTGCTACGTCATGTGCTATTCCTGGAAATGTGGTCCTAGTGTTGATTTTGAATCATATCAATAATATATTATTAAGTAGGTGTTTCCTTTTTTTTCAAATGGTCTCAACATCAGAATTAACAGTCTGCAATGAAAATCTTGTTTACTACTGAGCTTCTGTTTATTTAATGAATGCAATTTCTGCTATAGCCATAACAAAAAAAACCACCAAGAAAAATAAATCGTAGGACAAAAGTTGTTGCACTTTTTACTTGTCCATTGCTTTTGATGGGGTATAGCTGCTGATGCCTATGGAGTCCCTAAAGTTCTTGATAGACTTAGATCAGTGTAGACATGTAGTAATTAAACTGTCAATTTTCTAGGTTTGTTCTCTCCTGCGGGAAGGATTCTACCATAAAGCTTTGGGAAATTGGCTCTGGAAGATTAGTCAAACAATATCTGGGAGCTATACATACCCAGCTAAGGTGCCAGGTACATATATGATCGATACACAGTACTTTCTATTCAGTCAAGTAATTTTGGTGAATTCATAGTCATGCAGAACTGCAGATGCTTGTATTTTTTTAACTTTGCGCTAAGAGATGTTTGTGTTCATCTTTTTTTCTTAAGTTGTTAATTCAGCTTATCCGTTTTAAAACTGCTTCTGTTAAATCAATTTTTCACAATCACAATGTACAAGTAATTCTTTTGTTGGGTACGTTGGGAAGCAATTTATCGCAGCAGGACTTCTCTATCTACACCTCTTATCACCTAGACCTAAGTCCAGGTGATATTATTATCCATATTCTGATAGTTACCTCTGTGCGAGCTCTCTGTTGCAGGCTATTTTTAATCAGACAGAAGAGTTTATTCTATCCATAGATGAACTGAGCAATGAGGTTTGTTCATCCACTTTCATTTTCTCCATGTTTACCGGTGGTGATGTTGGCTTTATAATTGGATTGATTTTATTTGACGCATCCGAGTACATTACAGATCATTATCTGGGATGCAATGAAAACAGAAAAAGTTGCAAAGTGGCCTTCTAATCATGTTGGTGCACCCCGCTGGCTTGAACACTCACCAGTAGAGTCGGCCTTTATTTCCTGTGGAACTGATAGGTCAGTTCGATTCTGGAAGGAAACAGTATAATAAAGGGGAAGGAAGCTGAATGCATTTACAGGCACTAATTAAAGTTATCACTGATTAAAATTTAACTCAGGGAATTTCACTTTATTTTTGTTTAATCTCTGGTAGTAGGCTTGGCTTGCCCTGCAGAATTGGTGAATGCATTCAACGCTTTGAATCGGAATATTATCTATCTCTGCTGATGTGATCTGCTCAGTATTTGGAGCGATTCTTACTGTTTCATATTTTATATTTTCGTCGAAGTTGCAAAGCTGGATTATATAGTCCGTTGTGTCACATGTCAATATCCTGAACTCCTTAGACTATAAAATAAAATTGACTCAGATAACCAACTGAAATTGGATTATTGACAGATGACAGATTTGTATAAGTTTCTTCATGATTTCTTCTAAGAGAATATAATAAATAAAAAATAAGATGAAATTTTTAATAAGCTAAAATTAGTTTATGCATAAGTTAATTTATAAAATTTATTTATATAGTTTATCTTAATTATTAATTTTGACTTAGGGAATTTTTTTCTTCTAAAACTTAAAATATATAATTTATTAAAATTCGAAGTCTCTATGCTCCCATACTACTACTCAATGTATGAATTTAACTTGGATAGCAAGTTCAAATAAAACTTATGAAATAATGATTGCAATATCATATTTAATTATATGCGTAATATTTAAAATAGTTTTTATAAAAATTTTCATGTTAGTTTAGCAAAATGTAAATATAACTTTTTAGATTTAATTTTTTAATAGTGTTAAAAATGTATTGATGCGGTAGACGAAAAGAATGATGTATTCTTATGAAATATTTTATTAGTCTTTGCAGAGTTTATTATTCACTAACATAGGCCTTATAATTTTTGTTTATATTAATTTAGTCTTCATGAAATTTAGGTATGATTTTTTTTTTATTTCATTTTTTTTAATTACGTGCGTGTCACTGTTTTGTGTCACATTAAAAATTTCATGAATTCCGTGTTCTCACAGGTGAGAATTGTGTCAATCTCGAATTGTGTCAATCTCTAAACTATTTTAACATGTTACATATTTTATAAAAATCAAAATCATATTTTACCTTTATTGGTATATATTATCATCATTGAGAACAAAATAAAAGGTTAAATACATCTTTTATCTTTTTCTCAAAAATTATATAATTGATTTGTTTGATCTTTTATATTGTGATGTAAAAAGTTTTTATTATAAAATGTTAAGATTTCAAAATAAAATTATTTGAAATTATTTGAAAATATATGGAGTAGTCTAATATATATTTAAATTATATAAAATGACATAAGATAGACGATGTAGGACTTTCAATACGCTACTAGTCTACTGGATCAGATAAAGAATATTTTTTATCTAACTAAAGAATATCTTTTGACCCATAATAATAATAAAAAAAATATTAAATTTTAGTTTTTATATCATATTAAAATTCTGAAATAAAACTAATTAACAATATATAAAATATTCTAACATATATTTAAATTACTAATGAGTAAATGAAAACATACTTTCAAAAGTTAAAGTCAAATAATACAAGGTAGATGAAAGCATACTTTCAACTTAACATAAAGTTAAAGTCTAATCATGGTGCAGACCGAGTTCCACAATAGACTACAATATAATGTGTACTTGTCAAATTTTTAAAATGAACGTCCATTAATTATATTATGATTTTATTTTGAAGTTAATACATTTTGAAAGGAAAGAATATGCTTCTTAGATAAAGGTTTTTTTATGAAGGTTTTAATGTCACTTTAAATTCTTCTCATCATCCTCCCTTCGCACTCTAATAATGACATGGCAGTCTTCATATGCTATTGACGTGTGGGTGTGGATATAAAACTTATATAAAAAATTATCTTTGATAAACTTATTTATTATTATTATTATTATTATATAAAACCAATAGAATAACTTTATTTATTTATTATATAAAATATCAGTCCAATTAATTCATTTATTATAAAAAGGAAATACTATGACATGACAGTCAAAAACAACTATTAAGTTACTATCCAATATTATAAAAAATTTAAGGCTTAATAAATGCAATCTTATATATAATAAATTTAACCAATCAATGCATACGCGGTCAAAGATGCATCAAAGCATCACATATCAAAACTTTAGAAAAATACTTTACACGAACAATATAGTTCTATACAATAGGAAATATAATTTACAATTAACAAATAAAAAACCTTGAGAAAAAATATATAACATTAAGAAAAGTAATAACAAAATTAAAATTCTAACGTCTTCTCTATGTCCCTTCTATCTATCACTGATCAGATTCAGGAGAACTCACTCTTCAGTCTTTACTTTCTTCTTCTTGGTTTGTATTCTATAACCCTTTTCCACACCCTGTGAAATGACATTACGTTTTTTTTTTTTTTTTTTCATTTTTTGTCTTGTGATAGTGATATAAGTGATACACATTTTATTTTGCATGAACAAAAATAACCACAAATCCTAATATCTGTTTCTATTCTTTGATATTCACACACACACATTCTCTCAGGATAGCGAGGATCAAAAATTGAAGAGAAGAAAAGTTTGAATCTTTTTTAGTGGGGTAGTGCGCTTTGTTTTGTTTAACAATTTTGAAGAAGATTGGAAAAGGGGGAAAATGAGGTGGGAAAAGGTGAAGGGACTAGGAGGAGATGGACCAGGGAAGAGGTGGGGCCACACGTGTAACACCATTAGAGATGGCAGACTTCTTTATCTTTTCGGTGGTTACGGCAAAAATAACTGTCTGACCAACCAAGTTCACGTCTTCGACACTTGTAAGCTCACAATCTTTGTGTATTCTTGTGTCTGAGTATATTTGTTCTTGTTTTTAAAATCTTGATGTTGTTTTTATTTGTAAGATTGATTTTTCTTCTTAACAATTGTCATTTTCTGCTTGTTCAAGAAGCATGGTATGGAGGGGCTATTTGTTATTCGTTCGTTTTTTCATATGTTAATTTTTATGATGGGTGGGTCCCTGTTTCTTCTTGAATCTTATGGTTAGGTGCATTCACTATTAGGACATCCTATATCTGTTAGTTGAAAGCATTTTTTTTTATTATATATTTTGATCATAATTTGTTTCAAGGAGGTGGTAATGATGATTTTTTTTCTTATACACGGTAATCAATTTAAACCATAGACCCACAAGATTTGGAAAGAAGATTTTGGTAACTTGTTTTGTGTTTGATAGTGTTGAATGGTGTATTAATTTATTTATTTTTGAGTGCTCTGTGGTGTTTGCATTATTTTTGAAGTGTTTCTATGCATTTATTTTACTCTCTCTCGCAAGTTAATCTGGAGTTATTTTATGACTCATGTTGGTGATTTGCAGTTAGGCAGAGTTGGAGTGAACCAGCAGTTAAAGGGTCCCCACCTATTCCTAGGGATAGTCATAGTTGCTCGGTTGTTGGTGATGGTCTTTTTGTGTTTGGGGGTACAGATGGGACCAGGCAACTGAATGATTTGCACATTCTAGACATTTGTGAGTCATTATTCTGATATTTTTACTGTGGGAAGGGAATGTGGCCTAATTTTTGCACCATAGCGATGATATAAAACATCTGAAATATGAGTTTAGGATGATCTACTTATGTACTCCCTGAAGTGTACAGTTATTGTTTCACTTCATGGTACTCACTGTTGTTAAACTATCTTAGCTTCACATACATGGATTGTTCCGACTGTGAGAGGGGAAGCACCACCGGCGCGAGAGGGCCATGGTGCTGCAGTTATTGGCAAAAGACTATTTGTGTTTGGCGGTTGTGGGACATCTGCAGATAATAATGACGTGTTCTACAATGACCTTTACATATTGAATACAGGTGAATGAAATGCAAGAAAGGCTAGGTTATTTAGTTGTTCTATTCTTTACTCTGTTCTCTCTCTCTCTCTCTCTCTCTCTATATATATATATATATATATATATATATATATTTGCAGCTTTTTATTAATGTATAAGATGAGAAATATACTTATGATTCCTTTTCATCTTTTCAATTGTAGAAACGTATGTATGGATGTGTGCTACAACATCAGGCACTCCACCATCTCCTCGAGATAGCCACACTTGTTCATCTTGGAGAAACAAACTTATTGTGGTAGCTGGTGAAGATGAACATGACTATTATCTGTCTGATGTTCATGTCCTAGATACTGGTATTTTTTGTATCCTTTTATATTAGTGTTCTGTTTTTGTTAAACTTACTAAATATTTGTGCAAAAAAAGGTGATATTTATCAGAGTATAATTTATTAACATCTTCTGTAAATGCAGATACTCTAACCTGGAGCAAACTGCGTACGTTTGGCCAATTATTGCCACCTCGAGCTGGTCATTGTACAGTTTCTTTGGGCCAAACATTGTTTGTTTTTGGGGGCTTTTCGGAATCTCAAAGCCTATACAACGACCTTTATATGCTTGACATTGGTTTGTATAATATAGATGCTTGTGTACAAGTCTGATAAACACTGAAATAGGAGCTCAAACTTTTTCATTGTACTTGTTTGTAATAAATATTTTTTGTTTGTTCATGTTTTAAATTTGTGTCCTTATGCCATTTTTAATTTCTGATTGAAAACAGAGACTGGTGCGTGTTCGAAGGTGGTAACTACAACTAATGGTCCTTGTGCTAGATTTGCCGTAGCTGGTGACTGTTTAGACCCATATATGAATGGTGTTCTTGTGTTTTTGGGAGGTTGTAATAGAAATCTGGAGGCACTGGATGATATGTATTACCTATACACAGGTTGAGCAAAGAGTAATTTGTTCCTGTTAAATACACTAAGGAACATTTTGTGACAGAATTGTTTTTTTAATATTTTTCTGACTTTTAGGGATTGCATGGGAAAGAGAAAATAGACCTGAGAAGTTATCCTTAAGGAAGCAATTAAAGCTGAAATGTCAAGGACAGAATCTCAGTCTTGTCCAAAACCCAGTTCTGTGTGGATATGAAGTGGGTGCTGACAGTAAACATCCCATGACAATCTTGAACTACAACCAACCAAGTGAGAACTTGCTTATATATGAACTTTCTGAGGAATATTATAAAATACTTAGTTTTTCCTTGAAGCGATGTCTTGTCCTGTCATTCTTGGTATATTGGATTTAGGAAGTCCCTCATATGTATATCACAGCTTATAGTACACGCTCTCTTGATAATGTATTTTCTTTGTCTTCTAAAGATTTCTGCCATTTGAGTTGATAATGTTAAGGTAGTGAGGATTAGTGTTCTTAGCTACCTCTCATAATAGTTAGTTTTTTAGATTAGTTTGTGTCTTTACTGAGACATATGCCTTAGATGTGGCAAATTGATATTTTCTGAAGTTTTATAAGTTATAAAGAATGGAAAATGGTGTTTGGTTATGGACCTGGACGATTAAAGAATGGAAATGGTGTTTGGTTATTTACATTCAAAGTGGGAATCTGAGTATCCACCATCATGATTACAGGTAAAGTAGATATCCCAGGAAGGAAACCCGTGCCTCTTGGAAAGAGAACGTTTGTAGCCAAAGTTACTGAAAAAAGCTCTACAGGATATACTATTGAAACTGTTATTGATGGAAAGCCTCTTCACGGAATTCTGTTTTCAAACAAGCCAAACATTCTTAGTCCAGTTTCTAATACTTCCAGTAGGTATGTTTGCTTTTACAATGTTTTACTACCATGGATCTGCCTTTTGAGAAAATTGGTTTTAACATAATGCTTGATTCTCAAAACAGGAAAAGGACTGCTGGTGACGTTGGAACTCTTGCTTCAAATGGTATACATATACACTCAAGCAATGTAACAACTTCTACAGTTCTCGGGCAAGATAAAATGGAATATCAACAGGAATTATGGGGAGGGAGTTCAGAATTTGTTGGACGCCGTAAGGAAGCAGATAATACTAATGTTGTATCAAGTATCCCAACAACCGCTGCTGAGTCCTTTAAGGTCAAGTAGTATTATTTATTTTAGTTTTGTTGAATAGAATTCTATATGTGGATTGCCACAAAATGGTGTACCCACAGGCTTTGTGCATGCAAGAAAAGCTCTGGATTGCCACTAAATTTTGACTTTTTTGTTTCCTATATGTTATGGGTTGAATCTTGAAATCCATTGGTATAACCTCGCCTGAGATATAGTTGGTCATGATCTAATTTATTTGATACCTTGGTGGGATATCTGTACCAACACTAAGGTTTTTCCTTTATTTCTGTATGCTAAATTATGTTTAATTCTAGGTTGTTTTCCTCACTAGGTAAGATTCTAAGAGTTTCCAAATAACGGACTATTTTCTTGGTTCTAGTGGTGTATTAGAATGAAAAGTCACCCCGCCAGTTAATGTGCATGAATTGAGTTGTAGTTGGTTTCTGATGTCCCCAAATGGAAACCTAGTTAATAAAGAGTATCCTAGGAATGTAATGTGTGTCTTTGGTAAAGTTTCTTTCTTACAGACATTACATATTCATGAATATCCTGCAGGTTTCTGTCAACCCAGAACCAGAAGCTGTTTCTTTGAATCAAAATGCTGATGAGAAAAATGACACACCAAAATCCTTAATTGATAGCTTGAAACATGATGGATCCAATGATGTGACAAGTTCCAAAGGTGAAATTCAAATTGGTGATCAAATAAATGCGCCAGTTTCCAACTATGAAATTCCAAGACAAGCGAGTGATGCACCAAACTCTAATGCTACTTTCCTGAAACCTGCAGCAGCCGAGAGTTCTGTTTCTCTGCCAAATCAAGGTATGAAACTATGGAGCAGTTAGTGAAAATTCTTTGTCTTGACCTTTTTTTTTATCTTTCGCATGACTTCGCAAAAAATGGCATTTCCTTTTCACTTTGCATAAAATGATATTTCCTTCATATTTCAACTTAAAACCAATTAATACATTAAGGATAAGTGACCCTTCATATACATATAAGCCATACTTCGAGAATAAACCCCACCTTCACACATGCCTGCCAAACCAGGTGAGCCTACTAAAATGGGCAAGATGAGTTGCAAACTTTGATATCATATATTTCATCTTGAAATCAATTAGCATCAAGTGAAGTGACTCAACAAATATATAACTTACTTCCAAGTAATTGAGGTAAGTAATGTGACAGTTTTCGAAGATCCTCCCCACACATATGTTTGTCAAATTAAGTGACCCTACTGGAATAGACAATTACTAAGATGATCTACAGACTCTGATATCATGCGAGATTAACCAATTGGAATTAAGCTAAATGGTCTAACATATATATATATATATATATATATATATATATATATATATATATATATATATATATATATATATATATATAAGCCACACTCCAAGAATTGAGATAAATGATGAGACTTCTCAATAAACATTTTCATGGGAGTTCCAATTAAAACTAAATAATTCAATTGTTAAGCTGCATCTATCTCCTCCCATTACAAAGGAAAAAAATGAACCTCTGGCCGCTCGGCTCACTATGCTTGGGGGATAAGGGATTTAGTTTTATAGATTAGATAGGGAGATCATCATGGTGTTTTTGCCTATATAATTACCCTCTTATTAAAAGAAGTCATCATGTTTGCATTTGGAAGAAACATGAATGATTAACCTTCTGTTTTATTTCAATTATTTCCGTCTAAACTTGAAAACAATCATGAAAATATCTGAAATAAGATGTATGCTAGTGTCAGATGTTATATGAACTATTGTATTACTGAAAACTTTAAATTCTGGAATAAATTTCCTTTGGTAAAAGAAACCCATCCATATCCCGGAAAACATTCTACTGTCAAAGTATATCTAAACATGCAGTTGATTATAATATAATTTTTTAATCAAATAATTAGGACTCAATTTTTAATCTACTATTGTAAGAAATTCTATTAAAAAAGAAAATTGTAAGAAATTTAGTCAGTTTAAAAACCATATGATGCTTTGCAGACAATTAATGTGAAAGGGGGATAGTTATCATTTCATTATAGAAATTGATAGAAAATTTGATTGTATAACATGTTGTGAATTTGAGCACATTTCTTGTTATATGAAGTAATTATTTGGTCCCCTCAGCAATGATATTTTTCCTTAAATACAGGTGAAACAGTGGATTGTACAACTCCAATGACAGAAGGACACAGTTAACAAGCAAAATTAACCTGAATTCAAGCATTTGTACATTCCTTTTCTGAGGGTTACAACGGATGCACATAACAGTTTTTTACAAACAAACGTGCTAACTGGTGGGATATACTGCTTACCCAGACAAATATCTTGATCTTAAATTTGTTGAGCAAGAACATTATTATATTAGGAGTAGGTAATGTTAGAAGTTTTTGTCTCAATCTAGTTAGTTTTTTGACATTATAAACTGTTCATTCATTGCAAAATATTAGAGGTTGACAGCAGTTTCCAACTTCTAACATTTTTTTCTTCTTCTGTGGCTATCATCAATGGAAGAACCTTGTTTTCATTTATCTTCTTGTCTTAGTAGTTTTGAGGCGTTTTTGTTTGTCATTTAGCGAGATATCTGTTTGATTTTGCTTTGCAAATCTTCAATTTTGCTTTACTGGACCATGTTTGTAGCATGTTTAAGAAATATTAATAACACATTAATTAGATCATTAAATAATCTTTTTCTATAACAATTCTTAGGTTGATTTTAATACATCATTAAAAATCTTCTTCACTTTATTTAATAATTTTGAAAAGGTAATTTAATTGATCCATTTTGTAGTTAAATACATAATACTTTTATAAAAAGTATTTGTTAAAAAAAATTTATTGTATAAGTAATTACATTCATTTTTTTATTAATTTCAAAATTGTCAAAACTCTACTTTGATGTATAGGAATTTGAAAAACTACTTATCAAACAATTAGTTTTTCAAATTAAGAAAAATAATTAAAATTAGCTTGATTTTTTTAGAGATACAAAATTGTACGCCGGAGGAAAGAATGAAAATGTCGTAATTTGAGTTTCATGAATTTGACGGCATACATATTATTTTTTAAAGATTGTAGATATCCTACGTTGATTTGTGATCTTATGTTAATAATTCAATTTCTTGTTTTTTTTTTCAATTTGGATATTTTTTTTCATATATATTTAAAATTAAATAACTGTGTAAATGTAGTTATTTTTAAAACATTTTTAAATGACTAATATTTTTTATTTATAAATCTGCTGTGGTATGTTTGTTGGGTGGATAATTGTGCATCAATAATATTTTTATTTTATTCTTTGAATTTAATTATTTATTATTTTGTTATTTTGAAAATATTTTTGAATTTTCAATTATTTCTTAATCCTGAATATAAATAATTGTTATACTTTTTTATAATTTATTTTAGATGAAATAATATTGATGCAGAGGAGAGTTGACTATTTTTCTTATTTCAAATGACAAAATGAAAACAAAATGCGAGTTTCCGATACACCAAGTAACGGTTCTGAGACGCGTTTGGGGCTATTGCCTTTTCTCGAAATTAATCTGTTTTCACTCCCCCAAATTCTTCTTCTTTCTTCTTCTCACTCGTCACGCACAAAAACAATAACAATTCCGCGAATCCAATGTACTTCACCCCAAACCCTCTTCTCCCATACCTTCCTACCTAGGGTTTATCTCTCACACTCCTCACTCACTCCCAACAAAACCCTACCCCCGAGATTCCCCGTTAACCACACGCTATGATTCCTCTTTTCTGAAACAGTGGCTTCTCAGAAATCGAGAAGCCGAAACGGAGCGCTTTCGATGATTCAAATAGAAAGAGTAAGGGGAATTGGTTTATTGTGTTTTAGGATACGTTTACGAAATAATACATCAGCCTTTTGTTGAATGCATTTATTTCTGAATTCGAACCAAATATATCCCACTGGCTGAGTTAGTTAATAATGCTTTGTTGCTTCTGGTTTAGCTTGCTTTGCTCTTAGTTGTTTTATTCACTTAATTGTTGTTGTTGTTCAGGGAATCCGACATTGGAAGCACTTTGGTGTTATTTTGTTGCTGGTTTGTGTTGAATAGAAAGTTGGCATTGAAAATATGTATAATCAAGTGAATCGCGGTTCTCATTTTGGGCAGAGTTCTGTACCTCCGGTGCTGCCACCTCCACCACAACCACCACCACCACCACCGCAGTATCAGCAGGCTCCGCCACATTTCCATCAGTTCCCACCACCTAATGTTGGTGGTCCTCCTCCACCACCACCTAACATTGGCGGGCCACCACCACCACCACCACCTCATCATGTTTATTTAAATGGACCTCCTCCTCCACCACCTCCTAATTCGTCATCGTCAGTTCCGTTGAACCTTCCGGTTCAAGGTTCACTTAATGTGATGCCAAATACAGGACAATCATATGCTATACCTTCTCAATTACACCATGGGAGCAGCATGGCGCCACAAGCATCTTGGGCTCCAGGGCCACAAACTAGAGTATTGCCACCACCACCACCACCCCCTCCTCCCTCGGCTTCCCAAGGTCAAATTTTGTATAACCCTCCTTTCCATCGTCCACCTCTGCAGCCCGGTGATGTTCAGAATCTGCATAATGCTCCTCCACCACCACCCCCTTCATCAATTTATTTCCATTCAACTGTTGGGAATTACCAAGTGCCTCCCGGTATTCCCCCACCGTTGCCTTCGTCTCCACCACCTGCTCTTCCGGCTCCACCGCCTCCTCCTCTTACTGCTCCGGTAACCTCCTTCTCATCAAATGCTGCAGGCACTGGCCCTCATACTGCTAAGTTCTCTGGCTTAGAATCAAAGACTGTGAATTCGGTTGACGAATCTGGTATTGTTCCTGTAAATGGTTCTGATTCTAAATTGGATGGTCCAAGTTGTAGAGACGTTGCTAGTGCTGAAAAAGATGACAATCTTCCCCCACCTAAGCCAACAGAAGAGACTATACAGAAGATAGAAGCTTTGTGTCAGCTTATTGCTGAGAATGGTGCTGATATTGAAGATAAGATTCGTCGAGATGAATTTCAGAATCCTGAATATGAATTTTTATTTGGTGGAGAGCCCGGAACCGAGGCTGCAATTTCTAACACATATTTCCTGTGGATGAAAAAGAAATATAATTTGGATAATGGATGGCATGAAAATAAAAGGCAATCAGAGATGGTATACTCTTCTAGTAAACGGTATATCCAGCATGTTGCAACTGTGAATGCTGATTCTGACATGGAAATGGAAGGTTAGTTTTGTTATGATCCTCAAATTGAAAACTGATATTTAAATTTTATTTTGTTTCAGGTTATGATATCTCTGATTCTGGTCCAGCGTTGGTTTGAATCTGCTGTAATGTATTCTTAATATGAAAGCCCTTATTGTTTGTATTGAATTTGTTGGATATTCTGGAGTACAGGTTGCATTTTAGAAAGTAAAGTGTGGAGTAGATAACCATTGATGGGAAAGCTGTAGTTTTTAGTGTTATAAAACACCAGTGTTTGGATAACAAATTATAGATATATGACAACGCAATTTTATTTTTTCTTTTTTGTTACAACCGATTGCACTAGGAGTAAAGAAGACTGCTCACTTGATATAATTTCTCTATTAGTACCTTCGAGGCTGAATATATTAGGTTTCTGCTCTAATATTCTGTTCTCTACGAAATTTAAGCATAATAGGAAAGAGAAGTTTGTGGCTTGGATATGTGAGAACGCAAATCCTTATTTTTGTGTTTCAGGTTACCCCTTGCACTTTAAAGAGTAAAGAAGACTGTCTACTTGATATAGTTTTGCTAGCAGTAGTTCTAAGGTTGAATATTTCAACTGTTATTTTCTGTTGTCCTGCTATACTAAGTTTATGTTGCAGAATAAGACAGACGACTGTGCGTGTGTTGGGCTGGGTCTGGGGCCGGTATAGTGGGTTACTGATTTTGGTTTTGACTGGACTTGTTATGCATTATTTTGATAGGAGAGAACAGGAGGGACCAAACCTAGTCTCCTAATACTTATTTGGAGTACTTGTAATTTTTATTGGATAATTACTTCAAACAATGAAACAAATCAAAATTCATTAGACTGTGAGCCTGATCTGCTTTATTTTATTTCTACATGGATGGGTTAAGATGATATCACACTTTCTGACAAGGACCAAGGTTCAAATTATGCAACTGAAGGCCTAACTCAGCAACATAACCCGGATGATGAAGATGAAGTGTTTAGTGTGAATCAGAATATACGGCAGCTGCAGAAATTATCAGACAATGACCCTGCCAAGGACATCTCATCCTGCAGTGCATCATACTTTGGATCCATGGGAGTCAGCAAACGGAATGAAGGTTTCATTTCAGAAAAACCTCTGTTCTATATGTTTACTAACGTTTTTAATACTTGTCAATCAAGTTATACTTACTCAACATGTTTTTCTTTACTCAATCAAGTTAGTAATGCTGTTGATTGTCAAAATTTTTGGGACAGAGGCAATTTCTATTAAGCTGAAAGTTTAACAACTGCAATATAAATTTGTATTTAATTTGGAGTGTTTGATAACTTTCTCAGTTTAAACACTGAATCTGACTTATCAGTTTGAGGATTTACTTAAACAACTTTAAAATAGACAGAAGTCCTGCCAATTGATGGAGTGGGTTTGGGATAACTCAGCATTCTTGATATTTACAGGCATAAAAGAATAAATATAGAAATTTAAATTTTTAGTAGAACTGCAATCTTTTGTAAGTTTAAATGATATACTAATCAGTTTTACTATTTCTGACAAATTCATGCAGTGCATTGAATGTAGTAATTGTTCATTGAACAAAATTTCATCTAATATCCATGTAGGTTTTGTTTATATCAATTTGTTTCATTTCACTAAATGCTTTCAATAAGTTTGAGGTGAATTACTAACTATATTTCTCCTTATATAACTGAAAATAGGGTAGGTTAGCAAGTCATGGTTCATGATGACAGCCTGTGGATTATTTTTGCTCCTTTTTCACGAAATGGATTAAAATTACTTTCTATCTCATTATTTAATGTAGCCCTATCAGAATTTAGAAATGGTACAATATTTATAGAGTTCACCTTGCTATTTATGTCAAATTCATTCTAGGGTTAAATCTAATGTATTGCTTTATTATAAAAAATATTGTGTGTGCTAGTAAGGCTCTTTAATAAATACAGGACCAGAGATTTTATCTGATTCGGAGCACAGCAAATCTGTAAGATCAGTTACAAGGGTTTGTTGTAGTCCTGAGAATAACTCCACAGAAGTGGCTGAATTGCCCTTGGGCACAGCTTTAGAGAAAACTGCAGATTGTGTAGATGATGATTTCACCCAAACTGGTACTTCTGATCACAATGAAACCACTACTACTGAACGGGATTATGGGCCATTCCTAACAAGTGGTAGCCCAATAAGACTTCTTCAAGATTATGCTTCTGATGACACTTCAGCTAATGAGGATGAAGGCAATGCTGCAGATACTAATGTTTTCACATTCTCAGGAGGTGCTGATACTGGTGTTTCAGCTGTCCATAAAGGTTCTGGGAGTCATATGGAGATTGGAATTGGATCTAATAGTCCCTCCAGTACCCAAAAGGGGTTTCGGTCAGTCTCCAGAACACTGCAGAATGATTCAGAAATATCTCCACATTTATTACAAGAGTCTAAGAAAACCCGTAAAAAATCTGTCTCTCGATGGAGTAGTGATGGAGGTATTGAGCATAACCTTGAAAACCAGGTGTCTGTTAATTTTTCTGCTTCAGTGGAAGCTATCAAGGGAAAAGATAGACTAGACGATACTGGCATTGACAGTGGCAGTAAAAGTGGTTATGCTGAAAAGGAAGATGAGGGGAAAACCTCAAAATTTGAACCAAATGTTATTAAAGTGGATGAATTCGGAAGACATCTCAGAGAAGTTCGTTCAGATAGTGATTCTGATGATTCACACCATCACCGGGCAAGGAGACATAATAAAAGAGATAGAAGCTGTAGTCGCAGCCGGTCTCCACCGGACAGGAGAAGTAGGAGGAATAGGAGGAGTCCCCGGAGGAGAAGAGATAAAAGAAACAGGTCTCGCAGGTACGAACTGCTGTTGTGCAGGATGACCGTAATTGCATGTTGTTAATGTGAATGTTGTCCCCAAACATTTATTTGTTGTATGGATTTAACATAAAATATCTCTCGCTAATGAGGATCAATTGTCTTTACATTTCAAATCTTGGTTTTTGATATTTTAATAAGATTTTTGAAACCAATTGATTGAAAATAGTAGAGAATATATGTATCCATAGATACAAGATTGTTTTATGAGATTTATATCTAAAGGAATTTAAATACTAATCTGAACTGACATTTGATTCCATATGAGTTACTTCACATGATACAATCCTAATTCTTCTCGAGAGTTCTCTATCTCTCTAAAGAATACTACATATAATTTTTCAACTTTTGTTGGTTTCAGCTGGTCCCCCCGGCATCGAAGAAGCAGTAGGTCTCCAATCTCAAGACGTTCAGGTGACTTCCGTGGTGAGATTGTGAAAAGGGACAAGGATCAGTGCTTGGACTTCCTTCGAGGAAAGTGCTACCGAGGAGCATCATGCAAGTACATTCACCTTGAATCTGACATGAATGCTACATCAAGGCGCCATAGGAATAAACATGACCTGGAAGTCAGTTCTTGTGGAAAAGGATCTACAGCTAATGGAGACATGACCAATATTTCTTCTAAAGTGTTTGATAGTAAGCGTGATGGAGTTAAAAGTCAGGATGTGGATCTTTGCCAGAATGTGACTAGCCAGGAAGTAGTGCGGAAAGAAGATTCAGGGAGGAATGATGTTGCATCAATGATCATGCATCTTGATGGTAAATTAGTAAATAGCAATTCAATTAAATCTAAATGTATCAGAGAGGTTGCTCCTGAAATACTGGAAACCATTGTTGTCAGGGAGGATCCTAAGAATTCAATCCATGAAAATGATGGTTCAAAAGCAGGCGATTCTCAGCAGCAACATTTGGTTGAAGGCTTTCACCTTGATGCTTTAGGCAGTGATAGTAATTCTAAGCTATCTGGTACATATAAAGATGTTTTTCCCTCAGGAGATGGTCCATTTGTTCAGCAAATGCATCTCAATGTTTCTGCTGTTGGAATTCCTGAACCTTCTGGTTACCCATCTCAGCATGTAAGTGCATCCTTTGTGACTGATACATCACCTGATAAAAGATCAGTTGTTTCTGCTAGTGTTAATGAAGTTCCTGGTAGTGTCACATCAGAGCAGCCTTCATTACACTCTCAGGCTCCGAAAGAGTTACCTCCTCCGCTTCATAATTACCAGTTGCCTGCTTCTGTTGTTTCACAATCCCCGGGTGAAAATCCTGTGCATATGTCACAAACTTCAAGGCAGTATGATGTGATGCAACAAAATGCGTTCTTTCCTTTCCAATCCACTACCAGAGAAAAGTTTGAACCTTATCCTGCTCCACTACACACTCAGAATTCTCACTTCAATGTTACACCTAATAGCTCTTGGACATCCTTGCCACTGCCACCACCACCGCTACCATTGCCACTGCCACCATCCAGAACGGTGTATGATTCCAGTTTAAACTCAGGAGTTGTAAAATCACATGTTTCTTCTGAATTCAATAAGAGTCAATTACATTCAAGAATTGACATTGTTTCTCAGACTTCCATGAAGCCTTTACCAACTTCTTCTCAGAGTTCTGAATTTCAGGATCATTCACGAACTTTCATGCTTACTGAACCGTTCTCTCCAAAGCATCTCCCTCTGGTGAACCCAGCTAGTCTTTCAGGATCTAGTCTCAATAGAGATGACTTTCATAATCAACTTCCAATGCAGGATTCAAAATTTCCCAGTACCACATCATTTGGCAGCCTGCAGCCTCAACCAAATCAATTTTCCTGGAAGATGGATGTGAGCAGACTACAATCTCCCCTGGGTGGCAAGTTACCTCCTGAAGGTCATTTTGCAACATCCTCACACCTTGATTCTTTATCTCAGAAGCAACAATCAATGTATAACTTTCAGTGTTCTGTATTCGAGGCTAGTTTGGGTGTGCCTGGGGAGACTGCTACTGTTTCCAGATATCCACCTGATTTTCTGGATAGCAATCATTCAACTTCTCTTCCACCATTTGGTGGTTCAAGAATATCTGCTCACTATAATCCTTATGCATCAACTTTTGAGAAACCACTAAGTTCCAAATTCAGTTCAAGTATTTTTAGGCAGGAAAATGAAATAATCCATGGTAACAATTATGTTTCTTCTAGATTTAACCATACTCCTGTAAATGGGGAGGGTAATGCTGGGGTTGGATCAAGACAGTCAGCATCCTCATCAAAATCAGGTAGAGCTCTTGGTCAGGTTTTACCTAGGTCTGGTGATGACCAATATGATCCACTTTTTGACAGCATTGAACCATCTTCCACTTTAAGAAAAACTGATTTTGATCAGAAGCAGGAACTTACAGGTGAATCCAACATCAGCCTAAGGCCCAAAAGTTCTTATATGTCTTTGGGTGCGGATGAGAAAAACAAGGAGTCGGAGGAGGTTGGGGCTGTTGCCTCTACCACTTCTCAAAATAATGATGAATATGGTGAGACAGCAGATGCAGAAGTTGGTGCTATTGAAAATGAGAGCCTAAGTGATGATGTGGATGTTGCAAAAATGACTGCAGAGGAGGTTGAGATTAATCAGGTCAAGTCTCCAGGGAAAAGAAAAAAGAGTAAGGATTCCAGATCCATGAAATTGTTCAAAGTTTCGATTGCGAACTTTGTCAAGGAGGTTTTGAAACCATCATGGCGACAAGGTAATATGAGTAAGGTGGCTTTTAAAACAATTGTGAAAAAGACCGTGGATAAAGTATCAGGAGCCATGAAAGGCCACCGAGTACCCAAGTCCCAAGTGAAGATAAGTCAATATATTGATTCATCACAGCGAAAGTTGACTAAACTTGTTATGGTAATTGATTTTCTCCATCACTTATTTGCGTTTTTTCCATTGTCAGAGCCAAGTAGTAGCTGCTATGGGTTTGGTTTTGTGTTTTTGCATTCCTACCTGAAGCTATGCTAAGATTTAATAATGGTTCTGTATTTTCTAAAAAATCCCTGCACTAATGACAAGAGGCTTGATGTAGAGAATTCCCTGTTTGTCTGGGAATATTAGTGTGTATTTAAATGACAAGAAAAGTTACTTCTGTGCTGAAATGTGTTACTGGTTATATAGAGATCCAAAATACGAGATAGTTTGTCCCTTGTGTCTGTATGATAGATTTTGCATAACAGATTTTAGTGTTCTACTGAACTTCATCAACGGTCTATCTTCCAAAGAATTTTATATGCAAGGAACTACTTTTTCATTTATTTTAAAAAAAGGAGTTGGGGATGGAAAGCATTACATATGAATTAAGGATAATAATACGCCTAAGCGTTAATATTCAAATTGCTTTTAGTGATGTTCCATTCCCTACATTTTCTGCAGGGCTATGTTGACAAGTATGTGAAAGTATGAAAGTGCACTATGCCAATGTTTCTACAACATGCAATGTCAATGGGTGTGGCATCTCTACAGGAAACATCGGTTCTTCCTTGGAGTTGTCTAGTCTCAATATTAAAGGTGTACTAGATAGGTGTGAGAATGGTTGATCAACATTCCAGTTCCTGAAGAATTTTTGGTCGTCCCCAATATGTATGTATTGTATTTTCTCCTTGTTATTCGTGTAATTTGCTTTTAATGTTATAGATTCAACTCCGTGTTATATAATAGCATTTTGAAGTGGTTATCATGAATATTGCAAAGATGGAATTAGTTCTCTTTTATAGCTTTTTATAAGCTAATAACTAGAAGGAATTGCATGTAAAAATTACTAGAAGAAAACTGTAAATTTGTGTTGGTGCATAATTTTTTTCTTTTTAATGTTCCAAAGCATCTCTCGTCGTTTGACAAACTAAAGATTTTCTTTTTTATTAGTGACCTCGTCAAACTGAACAGAACCATGGAAACAAAGAAGCTTTTCTTACAGCGATGCTTTCAATCAACTTTGTTTTTAATCGTGGAGGATTGGTGGTGCTTTATTACATTCTGGTTAATTATAATGCAAAATGACATTGGTCTCTTATTTAATCATTATTCTTACAGGAAACTGAGCCTCTTGAGGTGGAAGTTCTTATTGACTGAGGTGTGTATAATGATGAGGAATGAGTTTTATGTTAATGAAGAATGAGCAATAATCAAATAAAAATTTAATCTAAAATTGAAATGTCATTTCAATGCTTAAGTCATTAATTGAATAATAAATTATTAGGATGAGTAATGCTTAAGTCACTAATTGAATAATAAATTATTAAGATGAGTAATATTAGATCAAACTTCTTGCACTTGAAATATTATCCTTAAAAGTACTATTTTTAAGATAAATAATAAAATGATAATTATTTTTAAGGGAGTTATTATGATCAATGCATTCAATTTAAAGGAATTGAATATTAATGTATTCAATATTCATTAAAATTTTAGGAGGTATAGTCAAGTTTATTTTTATGATAAAGATCATTAGTAATAGGTACATTTAATATTTGATGTGTGTATTTTAGTTTCATATAAAAGTAGTCGAATAGATTATGGTCATGTATGTTGCTTTGATTTATTTATTTTTCCTCTTAAAAAAACAAAACTTCAAAAAATAAGGAAATAAAATCATATATAATAAATATATTTAAACATAAGCACTTATTACAATAAACAAAGAATAGACTTGACAAACAAAAGAGTCACAAACCTAATTAAAAGCATACAAAGACACAAGGAAAAAACAAATAGCCTAATTAAAATTTGATCTAGCCATAAAGTACGCAAGATCTTTTAATTGGTTTGTCATCACTTAAAGCTGAACGCATTAGTCTTATAATTTCATCCACAAATCTTATAAATGTAATATTCAATTCAATTATGATATTTAAAGAAAGTTAGAATAATGTGTAACATCTTAATTACTTATTAGCAAAATGACATCGTCCATAACAATATCAAATTATGAGTATAGGATTATGGTAATAAAGCTTGTTAATGTGTTGGCTTTATCATTTTCAATATCACTATGAATTTTGACTTTTAAATCTATGAAAGTATAATTGTAAGAAAAGAAGAAAAAATGGCTAGGTTCCACAAGTCAGTCGGTTATAAATATGGTAGGGTGAGTTATTATTTTCAGTTTACTATAATCTATCATGCCAAATCCGTCAACTTGTGAGACGGGACAAATTAATTAACTCGTGGCTTGCTTAGTTGATAAAAAAAATTATTTTTATTATAATACAATTAGCCACGATAACATATAAGTCTTATATGGAGGGATCTTCAATTTTGTGTGTGATGTTGAAGATGAGGAAGAGAATAACAAAGATCTTCTAAGGGTGCATGTAATAATCTTGAGTATTGATTGTTTTTATTTTCATGACTTAAATTAATGTATGAAAATTATTCAAGGAGAGAACAACGTGAAATTTTATCAAATAAAAAAGTATAATATAATTTTTGTTATAGGTGTTTGATTCTTTTTTATATGAAAAATGGAGATTTCACAAGTTTTGACGTTATTAACATATATTTATTATTATTTATTATTATCTAAATTGTATGTTAATTTGATTGTTTTAAATTATAATTTCTTAACACGATGTATCAATTTATATTATTAGCTTAAAAATATATATATTGGATTGTTGACAAATAAATAATAATCTTATTATTAAATTTATTAAAAAATTTAATTTAAAAAAGACAAATAAATTAATTTAAAAAAAATTATGATGGTTCAGCTCAGTCAACCCATCCTTTGACGGGACTGGATTAAGATCTCGTAGTCCAGTCATGATTATAGTGCAACTCCTCCCGTGGGTCAAAGGTGGGATAGACCAAAATAGTACAAATTGATCTGTTTTGTCATCCTTAATTATAAGGAATCTAAATAATTTAGGAATGTTATGAAATTAATTGTAAATTTTTTTAAGGAGAAATATAACTGAATCAAATTTCTTTATTGTTTTGTATTATTCTACCGTTGTAAAATTTTAGAAATTTTAAATATTTATGATATCAAATTCTTCCATATCAATAATGATACAAGTGAAACATGTATTTTTTAGTGGTGAATATTCATTTCAATTTCATGCAATTCAATTTATAGATATATAATTAAATTGTGTACAGGGGATGACCTAGCGACTCGAAATCTTGTCCTATATAGTTCTTAATTTAAATTAATTTATTTAATGTTATATACTATTTTTATTATTTTGTAGTATGATAGGGTAAAGAGTTTCAATTTATGACAAGTTAGTTAATTAAGTGATTTTTGCATTTTCTTTTTTTAAGTTTGGTAGGTTGATTTTTTTTTTACCTTAATTATTTTGGTAGTACTTATGTTAATAAATCCAATGGTACTGAGTGGATGATCTTTATCCAAAACTTTAAAAAGTGTGTAAGAAATGAAAAATAAGTTTTCTAGTTTATGACAAGTTTATAAAGTAACTTTTTTTCTTAATTATGATAGGGTTAGTTTTTTCAACTTTAATTATTTGTGTGTAACATTTATATAAATGAATCCAACTATGTTGAGTATATGAACCCCATGCAAAAAGTTGGAAAATTTTGAGTAATAATTAAACAAAAATTAAATTGACCATAACAAGTTGGTCAATAACTAGTTGTAAATTTTTTAGTAACCTTAATTATTTTGCTTATTATTTATGGATGATCTAATATTAATAAAGTATGACATTACGCATCATTCATCCTAAAATTTCTAATTATTCTTGCAAAATGTCTTAGACATTATCATATGTGATATTTGAAAGGGGGAAACTACTAAACTCCCTCAATCATTCATGTTGAATCAAAACTCTAATATCATTCAATTGAAAATCAAGTTATGATACAAATAAATACAAATAAAATCTTATAAACTAATGTGGAAGATGAAAGGTCCAAACATTGTTTGGTTTACGTGATACTCATCCAATAAACGCCCTTACTTTAATCTATTATCCTTAAACCTAAAAGTACTTTCTAAAATATTAAAGTGTCTTAAAGTTCTATTTTAAAGAAGAAAATATATTTTTTACAATTTTATTTACAAAGATATTTCAAGGAAGATTGAAAGAAATGTTCTTAATCTTCCTTTTACTCTTGTAGTCATTCTCTTGTCATTCTTCCTTTATAATTTTCTTATTGTTTTATGATATCCTTTTTTTTTTTTTTAACTCCTCTTGTAGTAACTACTTCTTCTTTTGACTTAAATTGCTCGTAATGCCCTCATTACTCAATGCTATGTTGGCTTAGTGAGAGTGTTTTTCTTAGTGCATCATGCATCAAGATTGCCATGAACCTCAAAATTTGACTTGGTCATATTTGGTTTATGAACAATAAAATCTAGCCAATAATGACACCAAGATTCAGATTTCTCAACTAGATTTGAGACCAATAGAACGTGTGAGAAAATTAGAAACCAATATGTGAATTGGATAAACATGAATTTAAAAACTATCAAATGTTGGAAAATTAATAATAATAATAATAATAATAATAATAATAATAATAATAATCCTAATTTTGATTCTAACGATCAAACATAAATGTAATCCCATAGTGATAAACATGTTGTAAAATGAATGCAAAAGCGTACCTGAATTAGTCATAATGATGATGATGTCTTTGTAGAGCACTGTATTGATCTTATGGTCTTCCACCTGAAGAGCACCTATATTTCCCTTTTGATTTTCTCTCTTGATGGAGATAGAAAAAAAGGAACAGGAATGAAACTTACGTTCTATCTGTGTGCTCCCAGAAGGGGACCACGACCCCTTAAAATAACCAGAATTAGGTTAATTACTTAAGTTTTAGTATTTCCAATTTGGCCCCTCATCAAATTAGAAATTGTTCAATGGTCTCTACACAATTTTATTTTCATGACATATGCCTTTAGCCAAAAATTTAATTTAGTCAGATCACTTTATTATTTGGCTTAATAAATAATGACCCTAACACATTTAAATTATGTATCATATATATACATGACCCAAATTTTGTCAACATCAAATACTTACAAAACAGAACCTGAGCTCTAATAACCATATGATACGAGTCATTTTAGCAAATACATGAAAATTCTTAAAGCTAATTTTGTGATTCAATTTTATTTTATTATTAATTGATGCAATTCATGCACATTTACCCCTGAACACAGTTTAATCCAAATCATCAAACTCAAATTAAACAAGTGTGAAAACTTGACTTATAAGAGAAGAAGAATTAGTGGAACAAGAGAGAGAGATTAATACGAGATGCAAACTATGAGAAAGAATAAGTAAGAAATTATGTTGTGTTTGCTTCAGTATATTTTGTGTTCATATGGATGGAAGAGCGTGGATTGTTCATGTTTGTATCCACCAATTTGAGGAGAGAGGTGTGAACAAATTTGGACGAGAGTGGGAAAGAATAACCCTCGCATACAT